CTGTCCCTAAGTACTGCTGCCAGCTGTGGATCACAGCACATTAAATCCCTGTCCCTAAGTACTGCTGCCAGCTGTGGGTCACAGCACATTAAATCAATGTCCCTGAGTACTGCTGCCAGCTGTGGATCACAACACATTAAATCACTGTCCCTGAGTACTGCTGCCAGCTGTGGATCTTCTCCATGGTCCCACTTCATCATAAAAGCTCCTCAGGCCCATAAGTGGGTCACTTGACCATAAGTGGGTCACTTGACCATAAGTGGGTCACTCGACCATAAGTGGGTCACTTGACCATAAGCGGGCACCCACCTGGCCCTGAGCTCGCTCCTGACGGCGGCGGAGAACTGCTGCAGGAGGCAGGCGACGGCGGCGGCGGCGAAGGTGGCGTTGTAGGTCAGGACGACCCACATGTTCCCCAGCCACCCCACGCATCCCCACAGCCCCACCAGCGCGTGGCTCGTCAGACCTGGGAGAGGATAAGTCTTAGCATCGCAGGGGTTATGGCAACCCCACGGGGGGTCAAGTAGCCCTACGAGAGGGGGGTTAGGTAGCCCTACGAGAGGGGGGGTTAGGTAGCCTCAAGGGGCTTAAGTAGCTGCAAAGGTAACCCCGATCTCTCATCCCCACACAACCCCCCATGTCTTTAGGACGTAACAGCCCCAGGCCACGCTGCCGAGGCCCTTAGGCGGACCATCATTTGGGCCATCAGTTGGATCAGTTAGAAAGTCGTGGATGTGGATCCCTGCCAACTATTCACATCAGCCCCAAGTAGTCCTTATGGTCTGAACCACCTCCACCCCGTCCCCTCCTCTAGCATGGCCAGGATTTGGGGGTGACTGGGATCACAGGGTCTACCCCCCTCCCCACATACTCCCTACATCCCTCTAAAACACTCCCCATATCCCCACATATCCAACACCCTCCTCCTCTGTTGTTGTTGTTGTAATTGTCCATCTTGGCAGTGGCGACTAGGGAGGGGGGTGATAGGTCAGTTTTTCCGGGCACTAGCCACTGGTAACTACCAGTGGCTATAACAGTGATAAATTCTATAACAGTGATGAATTCCACGACCATCACGGGCTAGCTGACCCGCCAGAACCATTTGGTTGCTTACACAACACCNACATATATATATATAATATACATATAAATAGTCTATATATAGGTATTACATCACACTACATATATATATATAATATACATATAAATAGTCTATATATAGGTATTACATCACACTACATATATATATATAATATACATATAAATAGTCTATATATAGGTATTACATCACACTACATATATATATATAATATACATATAAATAGTCTATATATAGGTATTACATCACACTACATATATATATATAATATACATATAAATAGTCTATATATAGGTATTACATCACACTACATATATATATATAATATACATATAAATAGTCTATATATAGGTATTACATCACACTACATATATATATATAATATACATATAAATAGTCTATATATAGGTATTACATCACACTACATATATATATATAATATACATATAAATAGTCTATATATAGGTATTACATCACACTACATATATATATATAATATACATATAAATAGTCTATAGATAGGTATTACACCACACTACATATATATATAATATACATATAAATAGTCTCTCTATATATAGGTATTACATCACACTACATATATATATAATATACATATAAACAGTCTCTATGAGACCTGACAATGACCAGCACCTGCGGCCCAGCGCTGTCCCCCCCGTCCTCCAGGGCGTGGGGCAAGGACTTGAACCCTGAGATGAGCTGCAGGAAGTTAACCCCCACCAGCAGCACCACGACCCCCGTCACCCCCACCAGCACCACAACCCCCAGGGGATAGACCACACACCGACGCACCAGACCCCGACGAGACGACAGCTCCAGGCGGATTTTCGCCGCCTGTACTGCCGACAGGCGGGACAACAGGCACCCGAGGGGTTCTTCGTAACCCCCAGACGGAGGTTGTCCTTCAGTGGGGGAAGCCTGTTCCTCCCCATGGGGTCGTAGGGGTCGGGGGAACTGGCCAGGGCGGGCGAAAGATGCGACTGTGAAGGATGGGGGGCTGGGGGACTGGTGCTTACGGTGCCTGAGGGGGGGGCGTAGTTCGTGGGTGTTGGGGGAATAACGCCCCCCATGGCTGTCCCCTACGACGGGGTCCAGGGGTTGGCATGTCTTTGGTACGATTGTTTTATTATCAACTAGACTAGTTATACTAGGGAGAGAAGATTTACTAGACCTTGCAATTGGTGAACTAGGCCCACTAGAAGATCCTACGTTATTAGTTAAACTAGGTAATGTTTTTTGGTTGCTAGAAGAACTTGATTGTTCATTAAAACTAAATACATTTTTATCAGATGGGTCCCCATTATTAATGCAGGAATTGTTTTCCCCTCTGACTGAAAATTTGTCGACATTTTTCACAGGAATCGGAAACGTCGGAAGAAAATTAACGTTTTCATCGGGTTGAAATCGGCGGGATTTTTGTGTGGGGTTGAAATTAGTTTTATTTCGCGCGTCAGTTTCCTGAAACGGCAACAGAGACCCCGGAAAGGAACGTGAAACAGACGAAACAGGAGCCGATGAAACAGAACTCAACAGCGAAGAGAAGGAACAGGAACGGAAGAACGACCCAACAGAGCCTACACGAAGAGGCCAACCGCCCCCTTCACGTCCCCCATCATCATCGGCCCACTTCACAGCCTCACCTTCATCCCCTTCACAATACATTGAATTTTTCTCTCTGAGTACTGCTGCCAGCTGTGGATCACAACACTTTAAATCCCTGTCCCTGAGTCCTGCCAGCTGTGGATCACAAAACAATAAATCTTTCTCCCTCAGTACTGCTGCCAGCTGTGGATCACAGCATTTTAAATCCCTGTCCCTGAGTACTGCTGCCAGCTGTGGATCTTCTCCATGGTCCCACTTCATCATAAAATCTCCTTCATTTTCACCACCTCCACTCGCCTCCCCAGCCCCGACATCTTCCCCTACATTACTGACCACATCATCCCGGGAGCTGGGTGCGAGAGACAGAGTCGCTCACCACTGCACCACCCTCCCCCCACTCACCCAGCGTGGCGGCCAGCAGCGGCAGGGCGGTGGCCATGACCAGCAGGAGGACACAGTTGATGATGAGGTGGGTGGTGGGAGTGTCACCCCTGACGGGTGTCACCCCTGCCATGGGGGGCAGGGAGTAGCACCCCACCAGGGCGGCGGCCGCCAGGTACAGCACCACCGCCGCCTCCACCGCCGCCCCCAGGGGGCCTAGGGCCGCCACCAACACCGCCACCTGCCATACAGCGGCGCTGTGTTAGTATACAGCGTCTGTATTATTAGTCTCTATATTTATACATATTGTATCTCCATATATCACATCACAATATATACATATAAATAGTCTCTATAAGAGCTGAGAAGCACAAGCACCTGCGACCCAGCGTCTATTACATAGCAATATATATACGTCTCTATAAATTGTATCTCTCTATATTACATCACAATATACGTATAAATAGTCTCTTTCTTTATAGGTATTACATCACACTACATATATATATATATAATATACATATAAATAGTCTATATATAGGTATCACATCACACTACATATATATATAATATACATATAAATAGTCTCTCTATATATGGGTATTACACCACACTACATATATATATAATATACATATAAATAGTCTCTCTATATATAGGTATTACATCACACTACATATATATATATAATATACATATAAATAGTCTATATATAGGTATTACATCACACTACATATATATATATAATATACATATAAATAGTCTATATATAGGTATTACATCACACTACATATATATATATAATATACATATAAATAGTCTATATATAGGTATTACATCACACTACATATATATATATAATATACATATAAATAGTCTATATATAGGTATTACATCACACTACATATATATATATAATATACATATAAATAGTCTATATATAGGTATTACATCACACTACATATATATATATAATATACATATAAATAGTCTATATATAGGTATTACATCACACTACATATATATATATAATATACATATAAATAGTCTATATATAGGTATTACATCACACTACATATATATATATAATATACATATAAATAGTCTATATATAGGTATTACATCACACTACATATATATATATAATATACATATAAATAGTCTATATATAGGTATTACATCACACTACATATATATATATAATATACATATAAATAGTCTATATATAGGTATTACATCACACTACATATATATATATAATATACATATAAATAGTCTATATATAGGTATTACATCACACTACATATATATATATAATATACATATAAATAGTCTATATATAGGTATTACATCACACTACATATATATATATAATATACATATAAATAGTCTATATATAGGTATTACATCACACTACATATATATATATAATATACATATAAATAGTCTATATATAGGTATTACATCACACTACATATATATATATAATATACATATAAATAGTCTATATATAGGTATTACATCACACTACATATATATATATAATATACATATAAATAGTCTATATATAGGTATTACATCACACTACATATATATATATAATATACATATAAATAGTCTATATATAGGTATTACATCACACTACATATATATATATAATATACATATAAATAGTCTATATATAGGTATTACATCACACTACATATATATATATAATATACATATAAATAGTCTATATATAGGTATTACATCACACTACATATATATATATAATATACATATAAATAGTCTATATATAGGTATTACATCACACTACATATATATATATAATATACATATAAATAGTCTATATATAGGTATTACATCACACTACATATATATATATAANTCCCGCAGGGGCACGCGTTGCAGAAACTGTTGTTCATCCTCAGCGTACCCCAGCGCTGCAATAAAATAAACACGTCAATATTATGAATATTATGTATAATTATTATTATTTATACATAATTCTGAATATTATACAGGCACATTAATATTGTGGTCTGAATATTATGTATAAATATTATTATTTATATTGATATTATGTATAATTACTATATTTCATGTAATAATTATATATAAATTTTATTATTTATACATGATTCTGAATATAATACAGGCACATTGATATTGCGGTCTGAATATCATACAGAACTATTATTATGCATTAATTTTCTTATACACAAACATTGTTATGCAGAAGTATTGTTATGACAGTGTTAGCATTAACATTACTGATCAGTATCTGTAATAGTGATACACTGATACCCATATTAAAATGTAAGGGCTTTGACTGAGAATATCCTACCTTAACATTATTATCCTATCCTGGGATATCCTATCATGGTCATTATTTTAGAACATCACTATCATCATCATCATCATCACTATTATGCCAGTTAATTACCTATATTAAGCTCTACCTGAGGGTCGGGTTACGTGGCTAAGATAGTGAGGGATAAGTAAGACACGTGTGTCTGATAACATATCTTGTATACATTATGATACAGTATACTATACGGGGTGGTAATACTGAGTTGTGATATATAGGGGGGGGGTTATACATTACGATACAGAAGTATTCGGGGTGGTTATACATACAGTACAATATATACGGGATGGTAATACAGAGTTGCAATACAGCGGTATAAGCTACGGCAGTAATATATTATATAATGTGAAGGTGTTAATATAGAATATATATAGTATAAATATAATATTTATATTCTATTATATAAAATATATAATATAAGGGTGGTAAATATCAGTACGATACAGAGGTATAAGCTACGGCGTCGACAGTAAGGTTGGAGAACTCAAGCTACACGCTACATCGCGAAGCGCTTACTGGGGACTTAAGGTTGCCAGCTACTGGGGGGGACTTACTTAAGGTTGCCAGCCCTTATATATACTTCTGGCAACCTAATATATATTATATTCTATATTATTATACATATATTCATATTCTAGACCTTATATAGGCTTATATAAACTCAACCGGCACGCTACATCGCGGAGCACTTATCAACTACTGCGGGGGCCTTACTTGAGGTTGCTAGCCCTTATATTGGCTTCTGGCAACCTTATATATATTATATTCTATATTCTTATATTTATATTATATATATATATACATATCCTAGACCTTATATAAGCTTATATAAACTCTACCGACACGCTACACCGCGGTGCGCTTATCAACAACAGTGCTGCGGGGCGGTTTACTTAAGGTTGCTAGCCCTTATATAACCTTCGCTTCCGCCCACCGCGTTCACGTCTCATGACACATGTGTTCACTGTATATAAGCTGTATTTGTATTTGCATTTGTATTAGTTTGCGTAACCAAATGCTGTATAAGCTGTATTGTATTTGTATTAGTTTGCATAACCAAATGCTGTATAAGCTGTATTGTATTTATGTGCTGCATAAGCTGGCGACTCAGCGTCTAAGACAAGTCTCAGTGACACAGTGGACTTAATGGCTAACTAGGACTGCTAGTTAAACACATGAGGACTTGTTTCCTCGGCCTACTCACGCAGCACCACCACCACCACCACCACCACCGTCGTCACCATCACCACCACACCACCACCACCACCGTCGTCACCATCACTACTCACGCAGCAGCAGCACCACCATCGTCGTCACGCACCACCATCACCACCACCGTCGTCACCACCACTACTCACGCAGCAGCAGCAGGACGCCGACGTGCGAAGTGAAGGACTGCAGCAGGGGGAGGTAGCGCCCCCCCCACGCCTCTGTGGGGGACAAGGGGGGTTAGTGGAGGGAAAGGGAGGAAGAGTAGGGGGAGAGGGGGTGAAGGGGGCAGCAGGAGGTTTAGTGTGGAGCTAAAGGTATCATATTTTGAAGTTGATTGTGGGGTAGATTAGGTAGATGTGTAGGTAGATTAGGTAGATGTGTAGGTAGATTAGGTAGATGTGTAGGTAGATTAGGTAGATGTGTAGGTAGATTAGGTAGATGTGTAGGTAGATTAGGTAGATGTGTAGGTAGATTAGGTAGATGTGTAGGTAGATTAGGTAGATGTGTAGGTAGATTAGGTAGATGTGTAGGTAGATTAGGTAGATGTGTAGGTAGATTAGGTAGATGTGTAGGTAGATTAGGTAGATGTGTAGGTAGATTAGGTAGATGTGTAGGTAGATTAGGTAGATGTGTAGGTAGATTAGGTAGATGTGTAGGTAGATTAGGTAGATGTGTAGGTAGATTAGGTAGATGTGTAGGTAGATTAGGTAGATGTGTAGGTAGATTAGGTAGATGTGTAGGTAGATTAGGTAGATGTGTAGGTAGATTAGGTAGATGTGTAGGTAGATTAGGTAGATGTGNCATAAAGAAATATATTTCTTTAATATAAAAAATATTTGTTATTTCTAATTATTTCATCTTTATTTATCATCTAAAATATTTATTTATATATTTATTATCTTAAATAATAATAATTATTATTATTTAATAGTTTTTATAATATATTTTAGAATATAAAAAATATTTCTTCATAATCAAGTAAAAAATGAGTCAGGTTGACTCATAATATAAATAACTGCTTTATAATCAAGTACAAATGGGTCAGGTTGACCCATAATATAAATAAGTGCTTTATAATCAAGTAACAAATGGGTTTTATATATTTATTATCTTAAATAATAATTAGTATTATTATTATTTAATATTTCTTATAATATAAAAGATTAAAGCTTTATAATCAATAAAAAAACTGGGTCAGGTTGACTCACTTTCCTGGTGCCCGGGAAGCCCTCGGCCTCCGTGAAGAGATAAACAAAAGGCAGCGCTGCGAA